ACAGGGCTACAAGTAACCTATGTCAAACCAGGACCAGATGAGAAGGTGGGTGAAAAACATGGAAGGATGAAATCAGGCTCTAAAGTTATTGTGCTCTATGTTGAATCTCAGAGGCTTCAGGATCCCAAGCAGGAAATGAGATATTGTTCTTCAAGCTTGCACTGAGCTTCGCTCGAACACCGCAGAAGGCCAGCAATAGAAGTGTTGGTGTAGGAATATGGTGGTATAGTGAAGTGGCAGGCATCTGAAGCTCAGGGTTTTTTTTTTGCAGACAGAATGTAGGTGTTTTGCAAAATGGTCACCCAGGCCGCATTTCATCCCCCCAGTGTGGACGAGACCACACTGCTAGCAGAGAATACAGCAGACAAGATTGAGTGAAGTACAGGTATATCACTGCTTCACCTCGAAGGTGCGTTTGAGGCCTTAAATAGTGGGGGAGGAAAGAAATAAAGGAGTTGGTGTTACACTTTCTGCAGTCGCAGGGGAAAGTGCCATGGGGATATGGGGAAGTATTGGGAGCGAGACCATCACACGGACCATTCTCTGCAGGACACCTTGAACAACTTCTCCTTTGGGATGATGTCAGCTTTCTTTCTACTCTAGGATACTCTGCCATTTGCAAAGAAAAAGCTCATAGAAACCAGTTTTGCTGTTAGCTAAATAAGATGTTAGTGCAGTGCAATGTTGGAACAGCTCAAACAAGAGCAGGCTACAACCGCTTAGGCACCTTCTGTAGATATTGCACTTTTTTCCTCATTACATCCCTTTTTGCCTATCCAATTAACCTGTCAATATGCTTCTATATAAACAAGGTGATCAATATGGATTCTTAAAACATTATGGTATATTTGACATAAAATGCAAGAGCAGAAGGCCATTTGGTCTATTAAGTCTGCTCCACCATTCAGTAACATCACTGCTGAGATGATTATTCAATTCCACTTTTATCCTGCCTTTTCCTTATCAACTTCAAAAATCTTGCTTACTCAATCTTGAATATACTTAAAATTGCCCTCATAGCCCTGTGTAGCGGAGAAAGAAATTCCAGAGAAACTATCTTCAAGAAGAAATTCCCCAACTCTGTCTTAACTGGACAACCCCTTACTACAAGGTTATGGGCTCTAACTCTGAAGAATGCAGCTAGCTACAAGAAAAAAATAATTTAACATAGAAAACCAATGAAAATGTTTTTAACTGAAAATATTTTTTTAAAAACGGCAGCATAGTGGCTCAGTGGTTAGCACTGCTGCCTCGCAGTCCCAGCCTTGGGCATCTGCCCGTGTAGAATTTGCATGCTCTCCCTCGGTCTGTGTGGATTCCCACCGGGTGCTCCTGTTTCCTCTCTCAGTCCAAAGATTTGCAGGTTAAGTAGATTGGCTATGCTAAATTACCCAGAGTGTCTAGGGTGGGAAATGCAGGGATAGGGTAGGGGGTGGGTCTGGGTGGGATGCCGTTCAGAAGGTCGGTGTGAACTCAATGGGTCGAATGACCTGCTTCCACACTGTAGGGATTCTGATATGATCTGTGAAGTCCACTAAAAATCTCGTATGCTTTATTCTTCTAATCTCTGGCTTAAACTACATAACCTCTCCTCATAAGAAAATCCCTCCATAACCGGTGTGAACCTTCTCTGGACTGCCTCCAATATGAATTATTTTCCCCCCCCGATATGGGGATCAAAACTGTCAGAGGATTTCAGCTGTGGTCTAACTAGTGTCTTGTATAGTTTTAGCAAGATCTCATTTTTTTCATTCCAGTCCCTACGAAATAAAGGCCAACATTGCATTTACCTTCCCTATTACCTACTGAACTCAGATGTTAGCATTTTGTGATTCATGGACGAGGAATCCCAAATACTTCTATGCTGCAGCATTCTTCATTTAAATAACATCCAGCTTCTCTATTCTTCCTGCCTCACATTATATTCCATCTGCCAACCTTTTGCTTATCCAATTAACCTACCTACATTCTTCTATAGATGGTCATCCTCTCCACTTGCCTTCCCACCAATTTTCTGTCATCCACAAATGTGGTTGTAGTACACTCATTTTCCTCATCCAAGTCATTTGTAAATAATTATGGTCCTAAATCATCCCTATGGCATTCCACTAGTTACAGGTTGACACCCCAAAAACTGCTCCCCTAATCCCAAGTGACTTCAATTAGTTAGCCAATTCTCTAGTGACGCTGATATAGTATCCCCAGCACCATAAGGCTCTCAAGTAACCCAACATGTGGTATCTAAAAACAATTTCTGGGAATACAAACATTATCCCCTCCATTACTTCCCCGTTATCTATCATTATCTTTAACGTCTCACAGTCCTAATATTTCTGGCACATGGCATGCCAAATTTCAATTTTTTTTAAACAAAGCACTAAAACCTTTGAGACATCAAACAAGCTAAAAGTATTGACAATCTTCTTTGCTCAAAGCATAGTTTGTTCTATTAGCAAGGTTATGGAGGACAAAAAAAGGGTTCTGGGATAAAATTAAACACCGTCAAAAACACAACCACGGTATGTTGACTGAATAACCTCGTCTTTTGCTCTAAGACTTTGAAATACAAACTGAGTACTCAGACAAGTTAGTTCAACCAAAGCCATTAAAAAGATTTGATTTTATGCAGCAAAATCAAATTTAAAAGTTGTCCAAGGTAGCAAACAGAAAGAAAACTTTAGGACAACTTGCCCAGTGCAATAAGGGACAGCTTGGAATAAAAGCACAATGTGGGAAAAATGCACAAGAAACCAGAGTTATAGAAAATACTCATGATGGTGATAGCAAAGGCCAAAAAATTGCATGTTGTTTTTTTGAAAAGGAGAAATAAAAAGCCAATCTTTTAATTTGGGGGGGGGGGGGGGGGTAATCATTAACATAAGGGTCTGAGAGTTTATGGGGAAAAAAAGACTGGTTTCCCAAGGGTTTTAGACAAACTGGAGTTTATGAATGGTAGAGAATGGAAGGTTGACTTGAAGCGCACTAATGTAGGCAGGTCGGGAGATGATAAAAATATGGACATTGTATCTGGTAGATGAGCTTTGGAGGTAGATAAAAAGGAATTATATTTATATTGTTGCTCTCAGAATGTCCTCAAATGGTTAACTGCCAACAAGAGCACTCTCTGGAGTGCAGTCGTTGTTATATCAGGGAAAATCTATTTTCACACAGGAAGGTCTTGCTGACAATGAAGAGTTAAATAACATTTGAAATGTTGGTAGAACAGTAAATTTTGGCTACTCCACTGCTCTTCAAAAAGCACCATGAATCATTTAATGGGTGGACAGAGCTTTGGTTTAACACTGACATTTAAATGCAGCATAAGAGAGTGTTAGTCTGTTCTCAAGTCTCTGGTATGTTGTATGACTTGGAGGTGAACTACTGGGCCAATAACAATGCTTTACATTAGTGGCCTTTGAGATAAAGTGGTTATGAAATTAGAACAGTTCAAGCATGAATAAGACAACATTGTAAAGATGCCAAAATAATAGTGAAAATGAGCATGACGACACTAGGGATGGGCTAAAAATTAAGAGAGGTTGATCACACTTGATAAATCACCAGGATGAGATCAGATACATCTCAGGGTGGAAATTGCCTGCAATCTTATAATCTTTCTTACATGTAAGAATGGAGCCATCGGTCGTGATATTCAAAAAAAAATTTAGACTGATGAAAAAAGGATTCTAATTCAGGCCAATCAATCTAACCGTGATGTTTAAACATTGAGAAATGTTACTTCAGGGCAAAATTAATCATTGCAGAAGTGTGAACAAATTGAGGAGAGCTATCATAGATTTCTTATGAACTGAAGACTTAGTAATGTTTTCCTACCACTCCAAGCTGATAAAAAAATGAAAGTATTTAAACCCCTGAATAAATGTATACCAAATGCCATTTGCTAATCAATGACATACCAATAACATGGCATACAACTTCACAAAAAAAAAATTGACAGCATATCAAAATGTGTATGAATTCTAATTTCCTCCTTTGGTGTAATATTTAAGACTTAGTGCAGGAAAGTGAACTTAGAGTAGACAGTAATATATTTTTGGTAACAGACTTGATGGCCTGAATGCCTCTTCTGTGCCATATGATTCTATTAGCTGAAACTCTGCAATGTTACACTGTAAAAAACATTTATGCTCTTTCAACTAAACAACTTTTTATTATGACTCGTTAATTTTATCAATGACCACAAGTCAAAGATGGGCCAAAGCAAACATTAGGTGTGTGTGGTCCAAGATTAAAATTCCAAAAGAAAGGCTTTGTTTAATGCAGTTGTTGACTTGCTTGCTGAGCTGGTAAGTTTGTTCACAAACGTTTTGTCACCATGCTAGGTAACACCATCAGTGCGCCTCTGGTGAAATGGTGTTCTGTCCCACTTGCTGTGTGTCTTGGTTTGTTGGGGTGGGTGGCATCACTTCTGGATTTGTTTCTTTGTGGTTGGTATACGAGGTCCAGTTCTATATGTTTGTTAATGGAGTTCTGGTTTGAGTGCTAGGCCTCCAGGAATTCTTGCGGGTGGCTTTGCTTGGCTTGTCCTAGAAGAAACTGGCTAAACTTATGCACAATGACAGAGACCTAGGACAAGCCAAGCAAAGACACACACGAGGATTCCTGGAGGCCTAGCATTCAAAACGGACCTCCATTAACAAACACGTAGAACTGGACTCCAAATACCAACCACTAAAACAAATCTGGAAGTGATGTCACCACCTCAACAAACCAAGATACACAAATAGCAAGCAGGACAGAACACCAACGCTTCACGGGAGGCAAACTGATGGATGTTGCCTAGCAGGGTGACGGAATGTTTGTGAACAAATTTACCAGTTCAGTGAGCAAGTCAACAACCATATCAACAACCTGAGATACTAACCTTCTCAAAAACCTTGGCTTTGTTTAATATCTTTTGGGTTAGCTGAAGCCTTATGTCTGAACAGTACAGAAAATTGTTTTTTTTTGTATAAACAAAACATAAAAAAATTCATTCATTTCAACAGAAATGACACCTTGATTTTTATTTGAGGGCTGGGACGGTGTTCTATGGCTGCATTGAAGGTCACATCTGCTTTTTTGGCACAAGAAAAACACTCCATCACTACATGCCCCTTGCCAGCTGTACAATTTAATAGAAATGACTAAGGAGAAAGTTTCCAATTAAAGCATTTGTCTGTTCTAATGCAACAACTTTCATCATCTACAACACAACATTCTGCAATATTTTAAAACAGATAATATTTACAAACTGATGACAGGCTCTTAAATAACTCTGACAAAAATACTGTAAACTTTAAGTTACAAAATAGCAAAAAAAACACAGCGGATGCAACAGTTATAACTGGCAATCATTTAAAAAAAAGACAGGTGATGTCGATTAAAATTCATCCATAGGACGATCGACATAAGAGTGTGATCAGTAGCTAAGGAGGCTCTATATTTTTATGGCATACACAAGCAGCTTTTTATAACCAAAAATAACAATTGCTTTACAATCAAATCTCAGACTTTTTTCAACTTCAACCCTGCATGAGTAATAACCATAATTAGGACTGCACATTTGATTTGTCCAAAACCTGCAAGTCAAGGAATAGCACACATTCCTATTATAAATTAAAAGATTTAAAGAAAGTGCAACTTATAAATAAGCTTTTATTATAACTTCAGAATGCCAACAAGCATTTTGCCTCAAATACTACATGCTTAAAACTATCCTCTCTTTCAAACTGGGGTATTGTAGCAGCATCAGTCCTTTCTGGCCCTGGTTTAGAGTACACATTCAGTGTGGGCCACAAGACATCAACATTATGGATGCAATGCAAATTTGATTACTCCTAATGAAAATGACAAGTAATTATCAAGTTAGGGAAGGTACTGTTGAAGCACTGGTAAAAACTGTAAATCCTTGATTCAAAAGATCCCATATGAAGTTTTGCATTTTGAAGCATAACACTGATATTTGCTTATGGTTACCCTGAACAACCATCTGTTCTTGGCCAACAGCTCATTATGGACTGCTGTTTATACAGAAGTGAATAGTCAAAAGCTCAGTGATTAAAATAGTAACAATACTGGATGAGAGAAAAATATTGCAAAAGAGAAACAGGGAAAGAAAATTTATGAAAAAGGGTTACCATTCACAAACTGGTTCAAGGATGCATTTGAGCTTCAATCAGATTAAAGTCTATCTTGCGTGGGGACAACAAAAACAGTTGAGTCATAGATTAAATGACCAGAAAAATAAATGGTACCCAGATATATGCCCAAAATGTGGGCACATATCTTTTCAGAAGTTAACATTTATTGTAAGATATCATTTGTACTATGGCAATATTAGAAGGATAAATCACCAAATATACATAATCCATGGAAATATTCCTACTGTTATTATTTCTAATGCAAGCAGAAAACCAGTTATAAATACTTCTGAGAGTAACAAAATTAGGAAAAAGGAAGTTCATAACTTGGCTAGTTTCACAAAACAAAACTACTTTGCTTTAGTAGATGAAAGGAAACAAATCTGAAGAGTGACTATTTGATTAAGATATCAAATACATGTACTACTTCTAGAGTTTCTTTCATATATCATGACTGTGTCAAATGATTTAATTTATTAATGCTGAAACTGTAGTGTAAATGTCGCTACTTCAGGGTGCAATATATATTTATACTATACTTCTCATTTAGAGGTCAGGATTTAACATTCATACAATAATGGGCATCCAAGTATTAACATTATAGAACTTCTAACAACCCTTTAGCTAGTTGATATCAGTGTTTATCCAATAACCAAACTTTATATTTCTAATGAATTATGTAAATTAACTGAAAATAAAAATCACTAATGGGCATCAAATCACTTAAAAGAGCATTTAAGCCTCATGTACTTGCACACTTAAAATAAGAAGAATTGAATAGCTTTATTTTCATTTACTTCTGACCAATTTACAAAACTAGAAACAACCACGTGCAAATACATGACTTTCATCTTTTATTTTTAAATTGTATGAGCAAATTGTTCATTGTGATCAAGGTAAGAGATGGTGGTTTCATTCCTGTCTGTGCACATTTTTGGTTCTTATCATCAGTGGCACACATTTCCCAGTCAGGTAGAGTTGATTAGACATTTAGCACAACACAGTTTCGTGCAAGATCCATTGTTCTAAGTAAAAACCTGTTCCTTGCAAATAAAAGCTAAGCACACAGGTGCTGCAGATCACTTGTTGAACCAGGACAAAGCATGAAGCGAGTTAGAAGAAAGTTCCAACTTGCTGCTAGCATTTTAATGTAAACTTAATTTTTTTTTGTCTAGACAAAGGCCAGGACCAAATTCAGGGCATATCTTTTCAAACTATAATTACATCCTTTTAGACTGTTTAGCAAAAAAGGCACGGAGTGCAATTTTTAAAGGTCACAGCCTGTTGTGCTATTAACATTATGCACCTTATTGCTGGCACCAACCATCCTCTAATGCATGCATTACATAAAGTTAGTATGAACAGTTTTGTTTTGCAAGCCTATACCCATTAAGAACCGGGATGAGGCTGACTAAACTTAGTTCAGTCGGAGTGCCTCAGCTAGCAAGGATAGCAGAGCCAGCAGTCTCTACTGAAGCCAAGTCACGATTCTAAAGGATAGAGGGCAATAGAAAAAAAAAGCCACTGCATCCAATGGCATCATTTTCAATATTAACAACGAAGCTTTAAGTGTTTGACAGTCAAATACTGGAACTCTTCACATGTTTAGAAATGACAAGATCATACCAGTCCCTTTTCTTCTGAAGTAATACACAATTCTGTTTTTAATTTAGATTGTGCCAAATTTTGGACTTGACCCACTTTAGACATTTAATAGTAAATCAACAGCACAGATAGAACCAGATTAACATGCCAGGAAAAGGGCTTATTTCTATGCTTCCATTTCCTCAAAATTCCCATTACTTTAAAAAGTATGAAAACATATCTGCAGCAAATAAACCACTTGAAATTTCAAGTTAATGGCGCAGTGTGTCTGTGGCAACACAGAATAAGTTTTGAGTGTTCCGGCCATTCCACAGATTATGGCATAAAGTGGCAGCTTTGCAGTTTTCTAACTACAAAGTCGAACAAAAATGTACTAATATACTTGTGAAATAAGCTTCTATTTAGAGTGGTCTTGTTAAGATAAACAAATCTTGTACTTTTATAATGTGAAGAGATGCTATAGTGGTCCTTCAAGTTAAAACGTGGTAATGGCAGCTATTATTGTAGTGCACATATGTACTTCACCAGAAATTAATAAATCCCCATGACATTCAATAGATAGCATTTACAGATCTTGCATCTGATTTGAATTGAACACTTGGTAGCTGAAAAAAGGTAACTGAGAGCAGGCACCTGGAAGGCAAGAGCTACTGTGTTTATCTAACCTGATAATTGCGTGAAATGTTACCATCTTACAAAGAAAATTTCCATTTCTGAATATGTAAATTAAATATTTGTGTAGTTCCTTGTGCATGCCAATAAAATATATGCCATCTACAACGTTTAGCACAAAGAATCAAATAATTACATCAGCAAGGATTTTTTTTAAAAAAGGAACAAAATCCGGAAAGACTCTCAGTATTTAGATAATGAACAAATGCAACAAAGTTTTGTTTATTTGTACAAAAACATTTTAAAACTCTAATAAATACTGTGTGGTGGGTATCAGCTTTTACAACCAACAAGCAGATAGCCACGGGAGTATCGATCACATCCTGTGAACAGAAAAAAAGAGGAGAAGTCCAAGAAGTTCATCTTCCCCTGAAAGGTGGAGAAAGTTATTTAATGTGCACTGGTCTGTCATCAGACTTTAGCCGTTTTCGCCTAGGTTGAACGAAGTCATCGTCTGAATCCTCACTGATATGAGCTTCATCTTCGTGGTCGGAATCTGATTCTACCAGAGGTGTAAAGGTTCTGTCTGAATAAACCACCTGTAGCTTTGTTTCAAAATAGCTTTCTAGAGCCTTTCCAGCCTGGGCTACCTCTGAATCTGCCTAGAAGTGAAGGCAACGCAAAAGTATTTAATATTACTTTGTGTCATCATTTTAACAAGATATTCATCAACAAAACACAAATATTAATTGCTAAATTGTGACGCATCAAATCCATACAGACCTTCTATTTCCCATTTTGTATCAGACTAGTTGATCTCAGCCAGAGAAGAGTTGAATTCTTATGACTGAGCTTAGTGTTCTTAGGTTTGGGATTGAATGCGGGAAATGAGCCAAGGCCAATGCTTGGCAATCAAATGGTCAATGCAAAAACTTTTGCTAGAGTAGGCTTCAGTTCGAATAACAATCTACTAAAACTCACTGTCTAAAGCCTCAAACATCCACTTAGATGAGGAGACAGGATCATGCTAGTCCTCAATAAACTGTGCTATTACAAATAGTACATTCAGGTGACAAGAACGTGGTTAAGACAAATTCTTCAATTACAACTTGCATAAGAAGTATACTTTCAATTAAAGTAAAATCTTTGAAAATTTGTGCATACAAAAACATACATCTTAGTGTATACAAAACCCTCAAAACAAATGCACTCATTTTTCAAATTTTCTGGCTTTACAACATGCAGCCAGACAAGATGGTCATGTCCTCTAATATGTCAAAGGCTTATACAAGTACCTCAGAAGTAGATCAGTCACCACTTTACAATCATTCAACGTAAGTCAACATCATCGTATTTGCTTTAAAATAGCACATCTATTTACTTTACAATGTCATTATGCTATTTATGCTTTGCCTCAAGGCAACCTTTTGGCTCACTGTCTGCTGAACCTTCACTTTAGGCAGTTTTTCTTGGCAGTTTTTGTTAGTGGTGATTTGCCATTGCTTTCCTTTCTCAGGAACTGGGCAATCAAAACCCAACACAGGAATCAAACCTATGCTTAAGGTATTATCAGAACCCGACACCTAGCCAGCTAGCTAAACTAATCTCAGCCTCCCTACTAACCACTGTCAACATATCACAGAATATTAGGCTTCTCCAATACTATTCAAGGCTTTCCATACATACTCTTGGTCATACAACATACTACATTGGTTATGGACAAATTACAGCATCCCAAATTACCAAAAATAAAGCACAACTCAAACCCTACAGACATTAACTCAAGCATAAATGTCATCCCTGAACATAAATAATCAATTGCATTTGTATAGTCTTTCACAACCTCAGCTAATAAACCACTTCAAATGTACACATTACAGATAAACTCAGCCAGTATGCACCTAAGGTAGCACACATATCAGTGAGATAATGGTCAGATAATCTGTTGAGATTAAATGAGGGCTAAATATCTACCAGAATATTACAGCGCTCTGCTGGAAATAATGCCACAGAATTGTTTACACCTGCATGTTGGCAGCTGATGGGAGTTTAACATGCAAGCTGAAAGGCTGAAACTCTCCCTCATTACTGCGCTGAAGCACTCCTCTGCTCTGGTCTCCAAAGTAAGCTTGAACCCACCACCTTGATGTGCTACCACTGAATCAAGGTTGACAGATGAAGTACCAGATTAGTGTGTTATATACATGCACTGCCTTTTTTGACATTTTGTATCACTCTCAAAATTCACGATCTTGTAACACGTGTTTAGTCAATTTGAGAAAAATCAAGTTCCTGACAACTTGCGCTGTAAATTAGCCTTGTAGCTGAGCAAAAAAGGGTTTAAGTTGCTGTATTTGTCTACATTATGCCAGGTGGACAAATATTAAGGTAACTAAAACATCCAGAGGAATGAATTTCTATTTTTAATGTGCATTTATTATTAGCTTTATGCACCTCTCAATCAAAACCTGGCATTATAATACTGAATTTCACATCTGACTTTTGAGAACTGAATTTCCAAACATTGTAAAGGGCTGACAATAAAGGCAGCTCTACCATTTACCAATAAACTCCACAGAGGCCAGTGGAAGAAGGAGAAAAATAAATAATCAGAACTGGATTTGTTAATCTCCATTCCATCCATTTTCTCACACTCAAAGAATATAACAATGGGAAAAACTGCTTAGCTGACAACTGTAGAGCACCCAGTTACTACAGTTTTAGGGCATTTTGGATGCAAAGTAACATAGTAATTGATGCTGACAAACTGAATATTTTCTGTAATTGGGCATCCATAATCAAGCATTCCAGGCCCTTACCCTGTATAATCTTGAGATTAATAGAGGACAATTCCCTGCTGCACTTATGGGGCACTCCCGTTTCTTATTCCCACAATTTTTTCAAAAATTAATATATTAATGGCAACTGAGGAGCAGCAGTCTGCAGTGGGTGCATGTTCATGGCTTACAGAATGCTTACAGCCAGTAAAGTCAACTTTATCTCATCGACTTGTCTGAATTTGAGACAAAGATTTAAAAGTAAAAGGTTGAGGTGTCAAACATTCCCTTGCACAATGAACGCAATCTGATAGAATGGACAGTGGCTAAAATAATATTGAGGTTTTGTTTCATAAATAACTTTCTTTCCATTCCACAAACCTCACGTGGAATTTCAGCTTTACATTAACAACCAACTTCAACTGATACACGCTGCAGAGAAAGAAACAGGTCTGTCATAAGCAGGGGTGATGTTTTACCTTGGTTCTCATTTCCCTTTCTTTGGTCCTCATGAGGGCTTGAGGACCATTTTGAACCCCAGGTAATAGGGTAACCTTTATGAGACAATAAAATTCATAACATAAATTTGTTTTATGTTGCACTGATAGAGACAAACATCAAAGTTTCCTTAATATTTACAGTTTACCCTTTTAAGTGTATACTCATTTAAGTACTACAACAAAATCCATGCTATGTGTTTTAAGAAAAGGCTTGTTTCTTAAAAATGCAAAGTATGAGGGGTAGTATAATATAGCAGTAAATAACTATCAATATCACTTGGAACTGTCATGCTGATATCTTCAATGTCCTTTGTTGAATTTTAAAATGTTTACTCTTTCCTGTGTGACTGATATCTTCAGCAATCTAAGTGCAATATTACTACATGAACAAGTTGTGCCACACACAGTCAATGCTCAATGTAAAACTACGGCAATTTATATTACTAACAGCAGCATATTTGTATATCCGGTCTTGCCTGCGAATCTGGCGGTAGTTAAGTTTTATTCAGAGTTTATCACACAATCTCACTGCTGGACAAGTAAACAAAGCATTTCTTGAATTTATATCAGATTGTGTGTCGACTCTCAAGTATGGAACACTGACTAATACTGAAGTCCCCCACTGAGTAAAGACATATGGTTCTGTAGTGAAATCTACACAGCCAAGATCTAATTCTTGGGTCTTCTAGGCTTAGTTACTGGTGTTCTTAGAACTCAAGGGCCCTTAGTAATCAGCATTTACATTCCTGACCAACCATGGGATTGGCATTAGTGACGTGCATGACTAGTATGTCTGCAACAGCCCACGCAGCAACAGTTCAGGCCACCTGTGTAAAAAGCCCACTAGCGAGAGACACTTTCTAAGGAGTGAGAAAATCAATGGTTGCGTTACAAATGTGAGAAAGTGGAGAAAACAGTAAGAAAACAGATCATGCATGCTGTTTATTATGTGATATGACAACTGCAGAATCATCTAGCAATAAATCAACTTGCAATAGATAGCTAAGTTTTTAATTCAACTTCTTAGCTTAGGCATGCTCAGGTCCATTTCAGTTAGAGGATGACAGATTATTTTCAGAGTGTCTGAACATATGTCAAAAGCACAAATGAGATTTTGCCAAACCTAACAAATTGTTATTCAAATGGCTGTCAAATTACAGGCAGAGTATATTTAATAGCAACAAAGTACTTCATAAAGTCATCTTCCTACTTCAGTAGTTACATCAGGTAGCCTGTGAACAATTTTTAAATCATAAGCCAAAAATATCATTTCAATTTTAATTATATGGGGAGAAATTTAAGCATGTACTGTAATATAGTTGCACTACATGGTACCACAGACTACCGCTGAAACAGCAAAACTGTTTGAAGATTCTAGAGCCTTCTTCTTGTCGCCAAAAGTTAAAAAAGCTCTCCAGTGTGGAATTTTATCCAAAATAAAAGGTACTTTTTCCAAAAGGAACTTTGCACAGTACATGCAGTATTACAGTGAAGGCTTTTCCTATCCTTGCTTTACAGAGTTAGCCAAAGGAGAAAATGTATGTAAGAGGACTGCTTGTCTTAAAAACTTCAAAGTATTAGTTGAATCAAAATGTGCAATGTGCCCTGATGACTACCATTCTGGTCGCTAAGGACAGAGTTGCTGAAAGGAACAAACTGCATTTAAATAATTATCAGTAGTAATATGGTCTTTATATTTAAAATTCATTCACTTCTCATCTGTGACCGTTGATCTCCTTAAACTACATATTATGGACAGTAACGTGTGAAGTACAGTGATGAGAGATTCTTGAGCTCCAATCTGTCACAGCAGTCAGATTACAGACCCAAGTAAACTGAACGGGGCATATCTAAACAGTAATTAGTAGAGAAAACTCAGTTATATCTAATATCTGCAGAAACATCTAGTTTTTTGGAAGTACAACATGATCACTGAATACAACTTTATTTTCAGGGCCAAGTATACTATCTTTGGCTTTCTTCAAGCACATTAACCAAGATAATATCCTGAAAATATTTCTAAATGAGTACAATAAGTAAGTAGTTTAAGCAGAGTTTAGGCATTCTAGGAAGAACTTGAATGCAGCTGGTCAAGGATGTTTTGAAATTGAGGGTCCCCTGATTTATGTTATGACAACAATTTTAACACTATTACACTTGCTTATTTTGGGCTACTTTGTCAAATAAAAAGTCTGTCATTTTTGCTTATATTGGCAAAAAACTGTATCCTGTGGAAAATGTGGCTAAACACGGATATTATGCTGTCAAGGGCAGACCAAGCTTATACAAACAATATTAAGCTACAAAATGAAGAACAAATGCCATACAAGGAGAAAAAAAAAACTTCCTGAAATTTTGAGGATCAGAGAACAGATTCAAACTGTGCGTTTTAAGATTGAAAGTTACTATGTAGTGCACAGCAAAGTCACAGCTCCTTGAACCCAACTGCTCCAACTGGCATTTATGCTCCATACAGGTTTCTCCTCCCATCTCTTCATCAAACCCCAGCATCTTTTTTAGTTCTTTCGACTTCATGTATTTATCTAGCTTTCCCTTGAACACATTGATGTTAGTTAACTCAATTGAACTATGAATTGTGAGGAGAATAGTGATAAACAACAAAAGGCTGGATGGGCTGGTGAAATGGGCAAGCTCATGGTTAATAAAATGCAATGTAGAAATATGCGGAGGGACATATTTTGGTAAGAACAATGAGGAGAGGTAACAAAACAAAGCTTACAATTCTAAAGAGAATACAAGAGGAGAGAACTGGGGGAATATGGCAACTGACAGTAGCAGAGAAAGCAGTTAGAAAAACAGAATGCTGGGGTTTATAAATTGAGGGATACATTATAAACACAAGGAAGTTGTCAGGAACCTAGAAAAAACAATGGTTCATTCTCAACTGGAGAATTGCACCCACCTCAGGGCACCACAGAAACAATCTGAAAGCTATACAGGTGCAGAAAAGATTTACAAGAATGATTCCGGGAACGAGGGACTTCAGGTACATGGATGGTTGGGAGAAGCTCAGTTTCTCCTTTGAAAGGTTCGGAGAGATTTGAATGTGATATTCAAAATCATGAAGGATCTAAACAAAATAAAAATTGTTCCCATTGGTGGAACTGACAATCAAAGGACACCAATTTAAGATCAATGTCAAAAGAACCAATAACGACGTGGAATTTTTTTTAATGCAGTGAGTGGTTAAGTTGTGGAATGCACTGCTTAAGCATGTAGTTAGCGGAAGCATATTCAATTAGTTTCAAAAGTAAGTTGAATAAACACTTGCAGAAAATTTCCAGGGCTACAAGGAAAGGGAAGGGAGCAAGATTCAAGAAGTTGTTCTTGCATGCAAGGCCTCTTTGTACGTTTTATTCATTCTATGATTTTATAAATAATGTTTGTCTTTTGTAGTTTTAAGAAATAAAAGAATGTCTACTTAATTCTTCTACTTACGCTCAATGAATGAACTTGTATTACAATTACATAAAAACTTACAGAACTCTGCCAGCTTGGACATAGTTTGCACATGTTCTCCAATGCTTCGATATGTTTGTTACAGTACAGAGACCATATCTGAGTACAGTACTCTAAGCATGGTCTACCCATGGCTTTGAATTCTTCCTCAAAAAAAAACTGCAATTTTTTTTTTGCTTGTCACTTTTAATGACTAAGTTTCCATGCTGTATCTGGCCTCTTTAGTCTTATTAAAATCATAAGTATATAAGTCAACTCTCACCTAACTATACCAAAACTCATTTGGCATTTAAACAGCCATTCTTCAAACATGTTAAGAATTGTTTTGTATTTCAATGCTGTATCCCTCAGTATTGACTCTCTCTCAATTTTGAAGTTGTACTTTTGATTCCAGATCATGTATACAAATTACAAAGTGGCCCCAAGCATTTCCCTGTGAAACACAGCTCCCATTTTCTGTCAATTGTAGGTAACTATTTTTAATTTTTTTTTGGTTTATGCAGCCAGTTTGCTTTTCATTCTGCTCTTCCTGATAAGTGTTGACCTAAGCCCAGAAGGTACTTTTCTTTTATCTTTTGAACATCCATGCGTATTACATTTACTACTTTACTCCTACTTCCTTTTGTTATCTATTAAAGAAGTGTTCAATAAAGGTTGATTGCATAACTTGACTATACTGCTTTTGAGATGAAATTCAAATCAAACTCAATTCAAATCTGGCATTATTGAAAGTGACATGGAAAATAAACTCTTAAAATGGACTGCAAAACAACACTGCTACCAGAAACAGCTAACAGACCTGAAGGTTTTGGTGCATTTGAAATTTTTACACATTGAAATTCACACACCATACTTACTTCATTGAATTTTTCACAGTTCTTGAAAATGAGCCTAATGTCAGCTACAAAGTTCTCTGGTGTTTGGTAATGTTGCGAGTGCTTTTTCTGCAATTTCATTTTCACTCTGGATAAATCCATTGGATTCTTAATTATTCTGTAGTAATCCGGAACCTAGAAGGAAAAAAAAGAGCATGATTCTACTTCTGCAGTGTATTCAATAATATGTTTTGTCCAAGTACTAAATAGTGTGCAAAATGCTTATACTTGGTATTGGATATGCTAGTAGAAGGCAGTTAAGAAAAAGATGTAAAGTTTCCATTTTAATTCAGGCCAAAATAAAATCCTGTCTTAACTTTTATGACTGATGCAAGAAAATAAGGATTGTGCATTTATATAGTGGCTTTAACATAGATGATATCTCAAGGCTCCGATTTCAAAATTAGTAGAGTCAGTCACACAACACTGAAACAGGCCCTTTGGCCCAACTTGTCCATGCCAACCAGGTTTCCTAAAATGAATTAGTTCCATTTGCCTCCTTTTGACCCATTTTCCTCTAAACCTTTCCTAATCATGTACCTGTCCAAATGTCCATTAAAAGTTGCAACTGTACCCACTCTACCACTTCCCCTGGCAGCTCATTCCATAAGCTCACCACCCTGTGAAAAAGTTGACCCTCCGATCCCTGTTAAATCTTTTCCCCCTCACCTTAAACCTACGCCCTCTAGTTTTGCACTCTCTTATCCTGGGGGGAAAAAAGTTTTGCTATTAACCTTACCCTTTGATTTTATTAACCGCTAGACAGTCATACCTCAGCCTCCTACGCTCCAGGGAAAAAAGCCCAGCCTCTCCTTATAACACAAACCTTCTAGTCTCGATAATACCCTTTAAATCTTTTTTGCACCTTTCTCAGTTTAAAAACATCACAACCTCAAATTAGAGTTAGATTTAAAAAAAAAGAGAGATTGCAAACAGTCTTTGAGGCCAATACCATGGCTGGGAAGGAATTTGAGTTGTCAAGGGTGCAAAGATAATGGTGAGGACAGACAACGGCTTTAGATATCTTATGTTTAACTGGAGAAAACTGCAGCTCATCCAGGGCTGAATGTCATAGACATTTTATAGAACTTTAGCAGTTCAAGCATGATGAGATGATGTAGAGGTACAAGTCCAAGAAGAGGCAGCCTGGGCATGTTGTATCTGGCACCCTCCCACAATTGCATACTATGCAAATATTTAACAGTCTGAAGGAAGCAATAAAAATATTGGAACACAAGACATTGATAAAAATGCTCCAGCTACAATCAGATAACTAGGAGAGGAGCACTGAGTTGGCAAGCATGAAAAGAATAGCATAGTTAACTGTACTGCAGATATTAGAAATTAATAATGGGGAAGCAGAGAAGAGAGGAGAAACCAAAACAACAGTCACAGGATATATTTAGCAAAACTGGTTAGTGCAGCTTTGGTACTACAAGTACTAACAAAGATATCAATTTTGAGTTGTTGTGGGAGAAGTGGATAGAGTGGAGAAATGATAACACTTTCAATTACTTTCCTGAAAAGATTCAACAAATGGTTGCAGGTCACTTGAAGGATCTTGGAGAAAGCATGTTGGATGGCAATTGATGAACTTAAAAATTTCAGTTAACATGGGGATTAAAAAGCTAAGTTGGGTAGTCAGCATTAGTAGGGTATGGGAAAAACAGGTGGTATATCTCATGGATGAGAGAAGCTCACGGGGAAGAACAGGAAGGACAGAAACTGGATAAAAATGGAAAGCAGCAAGGGGAACAAGATAGATGCCCATATCTCAGTGTAAAATAGTCAAGTTCTTTGCATTTAAGTTTCAAGCTAAGAATGAAATGGCCATTTGAAAGAGATGGTTATGGCAATGGACATGGAATGAAGCTGCTAGGGTCATGGATGGCCACGGAATAGAATTCGCAATGTATTTGCTTTTCAGATTGTTTGTATAGTTAATGGATAGCTTTTTGCACAGGATGAGATGACCCATCAAAGCTCCATATTGACCAGCCAATTCTGTTGATGAATGGCCATGCCACTGGTAAATCACTAGCACATATCCCCCAGGGGTGTTGGGGAGAGATAGGTTTTAGCAGACATGGACCAAAATGAAGGAAGGCACAAAGGTTTCTTAAGTAGTTGATTTTTTAAAAAATCATCTAAACTTGTGTGCATTGAACAAAATTTTAGAATTTGTCAATTACAAAACTTGGAACTACTGGGTACTGTCAGAAGTATACTGATGTGGACAGATTAGCGGAATGGGCAGACACATGGCAGATGAAGTTTGATGCAGCAAAATGATATTTTGGTGGAGAATGAGGAGCAGCAATATAAAAACATGGTGGGAGGGAGTAGGGGGTGCAGAGCCAATCCATGGAAGTCAGCTGAAGGCTGTCATAACCAAAAGGTACCTGCTCTTCAGCCGTAATGAACTTAAGTGACTGAGAATGGGACATGCTACTCTAAGTGGAATAAGTCCATTCTCAAAGGCTGCAGGCTAACAACAGCCCCATCGTGCCAGAGTTCAATTGTAGATGCTACTAAGACTGCAGGAAGGAGCACAAAGAACTGAAAGAGTGTCAAGAACTAGAGAACACTGATTTATGGGGGTTAGCAAAAAGAAAAAGATGCCATAGCAAGGAAAAAGCTGTTTAGGCAGCTAGTTTTCAGGATGTGGAATGCACTTCCATGAGATTGTGAAGACAGATTCAATTGTAGACTTCAAGGTGGAATTATATAACTTTCTGTTAAGAGAAAAAAACTGCATGGCTATGGGGGAAAGCATTGGGAGAGGGAGTAGCTGCATTGCTTCTGGAAAGAACTGGCAGGAGAGTAACAGGCTAAATGACTTCACTTTGTGTTGTGACCATTCTATGATTCTGAGAGGGTCATGTCAACGATCCAAACCACAAGAGCAGTGAGGTGGCATGCGATGGAGGCAGTCATGAATATAGTAGGCTATTTAACAAGGAAAACATTTATGGAATATGTTTACGAATGGAGGAAACCAATGAAATACTATCAAAGTTGAGTCATTTGTAATGTAGGAAATGCAGAATACTCCCATATACAACAATGTGATAACCAGACAATCCATTTTTGTAAAGTTGACAGTTGGTTAAGTATTGGCCAGGACAAGTGATAACTCCACTGCTCTATTTAGGGGAAAAAATGTCTTAGGGTCTTTCAAGTCCTCCTGAAATGGCCTCATTTCAATATCACATTCAAAAGTCAGCAATATGGGCTACGCAGCCACTTTTAGTTGTACACTCCATTGTCAGTGGAAATCTCTTGGTTCTCTGATGTCGAAGCTCGAATACAACTAACTGAACAAAGGCTGACGCTGAATTTATCATTCTCAAAAAATTTATTGATATAGTAACGTCCCACGACTGCAGGGAATCCCTAATTGAGAGTTAAAAATCAGAAACAATGAGCATAATTTGTTAGTTAATGTAAAGAATAGGAGATGAAAGGGGTTAGGGATCACTGTACATGACCAAATTAGGTAAAAGTCTAAAATTATTCATGTTACTGCCAATTAAAGCTTATGTTATTCATAACAGAAGCAGAATATTGCAAACATATAACTATTAAAAAGGGAACTATAGAGGGACATTTGAATTTAGGCTGTAGGGTCTTGTAACGAAAATTACATTGTAATTGCTTTACCTATTAAAATAGATTGGTTCTGAGGAACTAATTGTGTGTTATCAGGGCTATGCACAAGTTTAAATTTATTCAGTCTTTGTTTCCTCAATAAATGCAGAAGGTCTATGCCAGCAACACATCTATCCTAGTTACTGTGATTAGCAGTTCTTCCAATACAACTGCAAAATGATAAGTTTGAGCTATTCTAGACATTTGACACACAATTCATCTCCTATGTGTTAAACAAAAGGAGAAACAAATTGATAGAAAAACAATATGTTAGAAGTTATGTATTTTTTGCGGTTTAGGAAAGGAATAGAAATTAATTCATATTTCAAGGGTATTCACACTAGTGGGAGGTACCACAATCACAGCTTAAAAAGTATCCAAGAGATCTTTTCAAATATACTGGAAAGACCCAAAAATTACAAATACCCTGGTTCTTAGAAGAACTGAGTAGTTAACCAGTAAATGGAAAATGTTAAATGCACTCAAGGCATACAAATAAATTCCAGGTTTCAATAGTAGTCTGTGAATACAGTTTTTACATTCCCTGCTAATGACCTCTACTAGAAACAGGTATGTAGTTGAGTAGAGTTGGAATCAATTTCAATACCCCATTCCCAGTAAAACAGCCTGTCAAATTCCCCATACAGATTCGCACATGAAAAACGGCCACTTAAAAAGGGTGAAGTAATGGATGCTAGTACCAGAATCACAGCACAAGTTACCACCCACATGAAAAATGAAGAAATCGTGATCTAAACATAGTCAGCCACACAAAAATCTTCATTACATCTGTGTTAAAGTATTTCCATTTATTTCTCCCCTTAGAAATACCTCTCAGAACCCAGGTACTGAAGGTAGATGCGTTAGTAGGTGCCAGAATCTAGATGTGTGTATATGGTTGTATAAGCAAATGCACAAAATTATGCACTAAGATGGTTAAGTTAGCAGTATTAGTTAGAATCAAATCATGGGAAGATGGGTGTACAAGCAATGCCAAAGCTAGATACAGAGTGTGGTATAAAATGCAAAAGCATCTTAAATATACTACTACATCTATCTAGGGTTCAGCAAAGAAAAATAAACCAATTTATATTTGGGCACTGCTCAGGGCTCTTCTGGCACAGCAGTTGCGTCCCTATCTCTGGACCACATTGGTCAGGTTCAAGTACATCTATCACAAAGGAACGAGTAAAAATAATATGAGACTACATATCGCTAACTGTCTTTTAAATATATTGAAACATAGGCATGAGATGGGCATTGACAGAGGTTTCATTGTGGTCCTATAAATAGATCCCAACTTAAAAATGCAGTGCTGGGTTTGGAAGTGCTTGTAGTCTGTAACCGTAAACAAATGCTTATGAAAGTAAACAAAAGACCAGTTCTCTCGTCATATCCTTCAGTAACTGGCTTATGAATGATAACCCATGCATGGCAAGTCTGACAGAAGATCACACTGTTTTCAAATAGCATTTACATTGCAACAGCTCTTTTAATGTAAAAGGTATTAAAATGTAGAAATGCTTCAGAAACTGAACACAGCTCCAAGCCAAGACACTTACAGAGGAAGGAACAGGTTCTTGGAATGCGATGCTCATTTCATGACAATAAAGATATAACAGGAGACGCTCACACTTCTAAAAAAACAGAACATCAGTTAATGAAGCTGCAAAACAAGAGTTTAAGGTTGGTTTATAAACAACTGTGTTATATACAGTTTGCTTACGAAATTAGTTTCTCAAGAAACTGGACTATCATTTGAAAATCTAAAATTTCAGACAAGAAAACTTGAACAAAATAAATATAAAAGAGCTAGTACAGTCAATAGGCTCGCAGGCCTTCTCTGCCATTCAATAAGATTTGCTCCAACTTCAACTCTGCTTCTCATCAATACCCTCAATATTCTTATATTCCTCTGCCCTCTTCAAATCCCAAGTAGGTTGACATGCTAATGTGTTACGGAGATCTGCGTGGAACTAAAGTGTAGGATGAGATGCACAATCACTAGGCTTACACTAAAACCCCAACTCCTAACTTTGGCACCTTCCAACTTTTTTAAAAAATCATTGTTCTAAACTAATTGGCAAATTTTAAACATTCATCAGTAAGTAAATTAGTTCTTACAATATACATTTTTAATTTGCTATTAATTTAATAATCCAATCTGACTTTCTTAAAATGCTTTAAAATAATATTCCATCATGATAACCTTTTGTACCATCATATTTTGAGTTTGACAAATTCCTGTGAGATTCTCTCAATCACTGTCTTTCAGGAAAACCAGTTTTGGCTGCTCTAACCTTTCCTCTGAGCACATTATGCTTAGGTTTATAGCTTTGTTGTACTTTTCTCTGTTTTCAGTAAACTTCTTTACTGTAAACTTCTTTTGCAACATTTAAACAAGTACTGAACACAGCATTTAAGTGGCACTGCAAAATCTCATTATAATTTTTATACCTATAATCTACTGCTCGTTAGTTTTCAATTTCCTTTAATTCTCTAAGCATATTGCATTGAATTTGCAAATTACAAGTCCATTCTTCCAAAATTAAGAGATCATTCTTCTAAGTCCTGTCCATGACTCTGCTTGTAATAATGATGCTCAATTTATTACCTACTTATATCAACCAACATACACCATGCATAGTTCTCAAATGACAGGGGGTTGATCTACAAATAAAACAAATTTTACAAGTGTTCCAAATTCCTTTGCAAAGCTCTAAACAGTATAATGTCTCTACTGTTCTTTCAAATAAGATTCAGAACATGGGGAAAATAGTTTACATTTAGTTTCCACATTAGTCGTATGTAAATTACAAGGAAGAGGGGTTAAGAACCAACTCCAAATGAATTCTAAAACAACACTTCCTCCCCACTGGTACTGATAACATATTCTAAATAGGTTTTTGCTTCCCATTCAATTCTTACCCAGTCCTCTGTTTCATTGAAGATTGCAGCTTTTAATTAAAAACACTTCATATTAAACTTGATGTTCCTAAACGTCCAAACGAACAATCATTAATCACGCTATCTATACTAATTGCTTACCCAGTATCATACTGCTACAAATAAACTGTAGTTTGAATAAAGAAAAAAAAATGAGTAAGTGTCATTTTTTTGAAATGAGAATAAACTTTTCTTCAAGTAAATGGGACTCACCCTTTGGTCAACTGGAGCCAGGCTTGGTCCAGTTTTTCCCTTCTTTATATGATACAAATTGTCACAATCATATTCCACTTCTGGTTTGGACAGGTCCCGACAAAACGTGCAGATCCACTCCCCACTTAATGGGACCAAAAGGAGGGGGTAAAAATGACCTTTAAGTATTAGTATTCTGGGTAAATTGGAATCTTACACATAATTAACTGTAAAAGATATTACAATACCTTCCGCCTTTAGCAAACAGCCTAATTAATCTCCGATTCAAAAGTTAGGAGAACTTATCATGCAGGGCAGAGTAATTCAGAAATTGTCATTTAGTTCTAAATTTCAGAACTGCATAATCTGGTTCTGTTTTTTAAACCAATCTTTACACATTTTTCACTTCTGTATTTTTATCTTCCTCCTTTATTTTTTTCTTTAGACTTCTCATTTTACTTCATTTCTCATTTTGGGTCCACATTTTTTGTTGCTTTATTGTCATACTTCTATTTGCTTTATTTGGACGTGACACATTAACAATTTAAGGTGCATTTGCACATCACCTGTGCCCAGAGAATGGTTTGATTTCCTTAGTATGATTCTTTTACATGTATGTTGATTGCATTACCCTATGGTCAGTTTCTGTATGGGTTTTAATCACTAGAAGAGTAAATAGGATAATTTTTATTCTTTTGAATACTTTTTTTCTTTACAGAACGTGAGAAGTGCATACTTTCTTGTACAATGACATAGAACAAACATTTCCAGAGTTTGGCAACGAACTCTGAATATTGTATGCCAATGCATGAAGGATGATAGGAACTTCCCTTGGTTGAGGGAGCACAAGCAGAAGTATTCTTCCTGAGCGTTCTGTTCTTTATTTCTCATCAAATTGTGTACAGATCTGTCATTAGGAGGGGCTAGGACCAAGAACATGGCCACAGTAAAGGGATGATCGTTTTGAACAAAGATGAGGGGGGATATCTTCAGCCGGGGGTGGTGACTCTATGGAACTTAGTGACAGAGAAGGTGTGGAGGACAAATCACTGAGTGTCTTTAAGACAGAGATAGATTGGTTCTTGATTAGGAAGAGGATTAAGGATTACTGGGAAAGGGCAGGAGAATGGGGTTTAAAAACATATCAGCCACGATCAAATGATGTAGCAGTAGCGATGGGCCAAATGGTCTAATTCTGTTCCTATTTCTATTGGCCTTATGATCTTTTCTGTTCCTATTTGAGGAGAGAAAGGAAACTGCAATAAATAAACTTAATAAATTTATCAAACAGGCCATCAACATGACATTCAGACACTCAGTTATATGTGACCAACAGACAATTTGAGAGATATATATTTAACATGAAGTGCTAAAATTGATTACAAACACATGCATCATGCAGTCGAACTTAGATGCATATAGAATAGGATAAAATCAATTGTGTAAATTCAAATATAAGATATTAATAAAAACTGGCTTATTAGCTAATAATCTAAATCCTCAATTGCTGCTACGACTTAATGTTAAGAACAGAACAGACCTACCTAGGAAAGTTGAGAAGTGTAGGTACGTGACACGCAAGATGGAAAACCTTTGGACACTTGTCACAACACAGAAGATCTCCACCATTCTGACATACAGCACACCAATCCTCATTAGGATCTTCATCCTTATTATTGCTGTTGTCCCCTCCAGCTCGTGGTGAGCGATGCGCAAAGTTACGGATTGGTGATTTTCCATTTACAGCATTATTCAGTTGCCTGCAACTTCCCGTCTTGTCAGAAGTCTCCATCTTCACGTGGTTTTCAACTTGCCTAAGCCCTTCGATATCAGTCTCACTCTCAGAGTGCAAGTTGTTGGAAAGAGGTGGTGTCAAGCTGCTTTCAGGACTACTCATCTAAATTTAAGGGGTAAATGTGTGGATTATTCAGCAATTAATGTCATATACAAATGTCATGAAATTTAACTCCCCTTCCATCCTTTTGCCCAAACAAACCCTCAGCAGCCCCATTCTTTGTCCAAGGGTGCAGGAACTAAAAGAGCTACTCCCAGGTATCTGCCTTGATCACTTGAGATGGTCAACAAGGCAGCTGAGCCTCTCAGGTCACATATCTCCCCATTCTCCTTGCAGCAAAGTACCTGGTATGTTTTTCACTTCTTACTGGAAGTTCCTACATGGAAACCACTCTGGTGCAAAAACTGTATATCAGATTTTAAAAACTGCTCAAAAATCTTTGCAATGTCTTCCTACTATCACAGCAATATCTGAAATACCAAACTGCAAGTTCTGTTATTCTAATTCAGTTCCAAAAATATAGTTCAGATTATTAAAACGCTCTCTTCAGTCAAACTCACACTCGTGTATGTCCGAATCTTCTTTTTTGAAATATTCAAAATCTGATGACTTTCTAACTTCCATGATCGTTATAAAACAGAAAGAATGACTGTGTTTTCAAAGTGTTACGTCAGGCACAATCAGTAAGTCACCTATACGCAAAGCCCAAAGTCACAATGCAGTTAACTTCACTTTGAAACCATTTCCTTTTCTGTCAGAATTTGTCTTGTGTATAAACAAAAAGTGTCTCATAAAATATTCAGTTTTGTGCTTAGGAAACTGAATTCTCTTCATGGAAAGTTCTCACTGTGAAAAGTAATCAGATTGAAATTAATCCTGAAGGCACAGGCCTGTACTATTTTAGAATACAGGCCGGAGAGTACGTTAGTGATATAATGCATTCAGTGGAGTTCTGATTAGATTTCAAATGACAGAAGGAACAACTCAGCAACTTTTATACATCATCTGAACTTTTCTAATCGCATCAGTCCAAAAACATGCTTCTTCAGATTTCTCCTCACTTTTACTGTTCAGCTGCAATTTTCTTAACTGGGCAACTGGTTGCACACACGTTCCCAATTTTTAATGAAACCACAGCAGGAAAGAGTGTTTAAGGTTTGTGGCAAAAAGAATTTTAATGGTTTGCTATGCAGCCTATATATGTTATATATGTGCAATGCAAACGTGTTACGTGGTGTATAGAGCCTGATAAGGATACATAGTTGATTGAGGTAGATTCAAATAAATCAATAGCTCCATTACAGTGGGAGCCAAGAGTACAGTTTACAGGGACACTTGATGCTACAGCTCATCAACCTTATACCTTATTCAGTTTACTTCCAAACACAAATGTATTAGTCGCCAGCTAGTACGACCATGAAATTTACACCAGCAGCTCTCTGAAAGTATGAATGATTTTATCTACAGAAACATAACAAAGTTCTGTCAAAAACAGTTTTAAAAAAGCTTTTGTAAAGATGCATTCAAGAAATGCTTAAACTGAAAATTTGTTTCTACTCTACTTTAATGACTACCAACACACTGGTGAAGAAGTATTTGAATATGTTAATTGACGCATTGGGGGAAAAAAGTCAAGCTCAAAAAAATTTACTCTAGCAAATGACTACCACGAAAATTTTTGATTAAGCCACAAGTTACTTCAAGTTTACCATGCAAGCGCTTCTCCGGCCATCTTCTAAATGCTCATGTTTTACAGAAGCACCAGTAAAACTGCACACATCATCCTCCGTGCCTGGTTCTTGCTTCACTTTGACTTGGTCTGGTCGAAAGACTGAGATCCCCCTCTCTGTACCTTGAGCTTTACCAGAGGAGCTACAGCTGTAAGAAGTACACTTACAATCAGCATACTAAGGTTAGTTTTAATCACAAAGAAATGTAAGTTCAGATTTATGAAGTTGCAAAATTTAAGTAATACAAAACACAGCAAAGATACGGCTGTCACTGATCACTTGAGCCATATTTTAGATTGAATTGAATTAAACTCACATGTTTCAAATCTGATAAGATCAGGTAATTTAGTTAAGAATTGGACTGTCCAAAAATAAATTAGAACACCTCAGGTAAATCCAATATCTGTTGTTGATGACATCTCTACATTAAATGAGTTTAGCTACCTTCAATCCAACAATATAGGAAATATCATTCTGTAAGCCCCACATCCCTCCAAAAATCTGCATGTAATATTAGCAATTTTAGAGAAGTCAACAGTTGACCACCATGGCAAATAGCTTACAGAGAACTGGAACAAAGAACAAAGAAAATTACAGCACAGGAACAGGCCGTTGGGCCCTCCAAGCCTTTGCCAATCAGATCCTCTATCTAAACCTGTCACCTATTTTCCAAGGATCTGTATCCCTCTGCTCCCTGCCCGTTCATGTATCTGTCTAGATACATCTTAAATGACGCTATTGTGCCTGCCTCTACCACCTCCGCTGGCAACGCGTTCCAGGCACCCACCACCCTCTGCGTAAAGAACTTTCCACGCATATCTTCCTTAAACTTTTCCCCTCTCACCTTGAGATCGTGACCCCTAGTAATTGAGTCCCCCACTCTGGGGAAAAAGCTTCTTGCTATTCACCCTGTCTATACCTCTCATGATTTTGTAGACCTCAATCAGGTCCCTCCTCAACCCCCGTCTTTCTAATGTAAATAATCCTAATCTACTCAACCTCTCTTCATAGCGAGCGCCCTCCATACCAGGCGACATCCTGGTGAACTTCCTCTGCACCCTCTCCAAAGCATCCACATCCTTTTGGTAATGTGGCAACCAGAACTGTACGCAGTATTCCAAATGCGGTCGAACCAAAGTCCTATACAACTGTAACATAACCTGCCAACTCTTGTACTCTATACCCCGTCCGATGAACGAAAACATGCCGTATGCCTTCTTGACCACTCTATCCACCTGCGTTGCCACCTTCAGGGTACACCCAGATCTCTCTGTGCATCAATTTTCCCCAGGGCTTTTCCATTTACCGTATAGTTCGCTCTCGAATTGGAACTTCCAAAATGCATCACCTCGCATTTGCCTGGATTGAACTCCATCTGCCATTTCTCCGCCCAACTCTCCAATCTATCTATATTCTGCTGCATTCTCTGACAGTCCCCTTCACTATCTGCTACTCCACCAATCTTAGTGTCATCTGCAAACTTGCTAATCAGACCATCTATACCTTCCTTCAGATCATTTATGTATATCACAAACAACAGTGGTCCCAACACGGATCCCTGTGGAACACCACTAGTCACAGTTCTCCATTTTGGGAAACTCCCTTCCACTACAACTCCCAGCCAGTTCTCTATCCATCTAGCTACTACACCCGGGACCCCATGCGATTTCACTTTCTCCATCAGCCTACCATGAGGAACCTTACTGAAGTCCATGTATATGACATCTACCTTCCCTCATCTATCAACTTTGTCACTTCCTCAAAGAATTCTATCAAGTTGGTAAGACATGACCTTCCCTGCACAAAACCCTGCTGCCAATCACTAATAAGCCCATTTTCTTCCAAATGTAAATAGATCCTATCCCTCAGTATCTTCTCCAGCAGCTTCCCCGCCACTGACGTCAGGCTCACAGGTGTATAATTAGCTGGATTATCCTTGCTACCCTTCTTAAACAAGGGGACATTAGCAATTCTCCAGCCCTCCGGGACCTCACTTGTGCTCAAGGATGCTGCAAAGATGTCTGTTTAGGCCCCAGCTATTTCCTCTCTCGCTTCCCTCAGTAACCTGGGATAGATTCCATCCGGACCTGGGGACTTGTCCACTCTAATGCCTTTTAGAATACCCAACACTTCCCCTCCTCCTTATGCCGACTTGACCTAGAGTAATCAAATATCTATCCCTAACCTCAACATCCGTCATGTCCCTCTCCTCGGTGAATACCGACGCAAAGTACTCATTCAGAATCTGTCTCATTTTCTCTGACTCCTGGCATAACTTCCCTCCTTTGTCCTTGAGTGGGCCAACCCTTTCTCTACCCTCTTGCTCCTTGTGTATGAATAAAAGGCTTTGGGATTTTCCTTAACCCTGTTTGCTAAAGATATTTCATGGCCCCTTTTAGCTCTCTTAATTCCTCGTTTCAGATTGGTCCTACTTCCCCGATATTCTTCCAAAGCTTCGTCTGTTTTCAGCCGCCTAGGCCTTATGTATGCTTCCTTTATCCTCTTTGCTAGTCTCTCAATTGCACCAGTCATCCATGGTTCCCTAATCTTGCCCTTTCTATCCCTCATTTTCACAGGGACATGTCTGTCCTGCACACTAATCAACCTCTCTCTAAAAGCTTCCCACATATCAAATGTGGATTTACCCTCAAACAGCTGCTCCCAATCCACATTCCCCAGTTCCTGCCGAATTTTGCTATAGTTGGCCTTCCCCCAGTTTAGCACTCTTCCTTTACGACCACTCTCGTCTTTGTCCATGAGTATTCTAAAACTTACGGAATTGTGATCACTAATTCCCAAAGTAATCCCATACTGAAACTTCAACCACCTGGTCGGGCTCATTCCCCAACACCAGGTCCAGTATGGCCCCTTCCCGAGTTGGACTATTTACATACTGCTCTATAAAACCCTCCTGGAGGCTCCTTACAAATTCTGCTCCATCTAAACCCCTAACACTAAGTGAATCCCAGTTAATGTTGGGAAAATTAAAATCTCCGATCACTACCACCCTGTTGCTCCCACATTTTCCATAATCTGTCTACATATTTGTACCTCTATCTCACGCTCGCTGTTGGGAGGCCTGTAGTACAGCCCCAACATTGTTACCGCACCCTTGCTATTTCTGAGCTCTGCCCATATTGCCTCACTGCTCGAGTCCTCCATAGTGCCCTCCTTCAGCACAGCTGTGATATCCTCTTTGACCAGCAATGCAACTCCTCCACCCCTTTTACCTCCCTCTGTATCCTGCCTGAAGCATCTATATCCTGGGATATGGAGTTGCCAATCTTGCCCTTCCCTCAACCAAGTCTCAGTAATAGCAATAACATACTCCCAGGTACTAATCCAAGCCCCAAGTTCATCTGCCTTACCTACTACACTTCTCGCATTAAAACAAATGCACCTCAGACCACCTGTCCCTTTGCGTTCATCATCTGCTCTCTGCCCACTCTTCCCCTTAGTCACACTGACTTCATTATCTAGTTCCTTACAGGCTTTAGTTACTACCTCCATACTGTCCACTAACCACCTCATCTGGCTCCCATCCCCCTGCCACATTAGTTTAAACCCTCCCCAACAGCATTAGCAAAAGCACCCCTAGGACATTGGTTCCAGTCCTGCCCAGGTGTAGACCGTCCGATTTGTAATAGTCCCACCTCCCCCAGAACCAGTCCCAACGTCCCAAAAATCTGAACCCCTCCCTCCTGCACCATCTCTCAAGCCACTCATTTATCCTGCCTATTCTTTCATTTCTACTGACTAGCACGTGGCACTGGTACCTCTGAGTTCCTAATTTTTAACTTGGCTCCTAACTCCCTAAATTCTGCTTGTAGGATCTCATCCTGTTTATTACCTATATCATTGGTGCCTATATGCACCACGACAGCTGGCTGTTCACCCACCCCCTTCAGAACGTCCTGCAGTCGATCTGAGACATCCCTGGCCCGTGCACCTGGGAGGCAACATACCATTCGGGAGTCTCGTTTTCGACCACAGAACCGCTTAACTACTCCCCTTACAATCGAATCCCCCATGACTATAGCCCTTCCACTCTTTTTCCTGCCCTTCTGTACAGCAGAGCCAGCCACGGTGCCATGAACCTGGCTACTGCTGCCTTCCCCTGGTGAGCCATCTCCCCCAACAGTATCCAAAACTGAATTCTGAGAGATTGGGCTAAGACAACACCGGGACAAACACAGGCAGTTTCATTCTCCACTTAAACACGCAAAATATGACCTAGGTGCACTTTATAAACAATGGATGTACAAAATGGAAACTATTTTATTCCCATCTTATACTTCTCCCTGAAGCACAAAACACAGAAATACCATTAACTTACCAATCAAAACAGAGAATTTTGTAATATTGATTTGATACTTCCAAAGTACATGTTTGTTTGAAACGTAGTATGTAGTGCAAGGTAAAGTAACCAAAGCCTTGACACTGAATGTATCTGAAGGTTTGATCTAACACTAGGAAAAGAAAAGGGATTAATTTTTGTTTGCTCCTGTCGTCCAAATAGCTTTTCTTTAAAAGTGCCAACCAGATAATAACATCCCAAAAATTTACCGAAATTCAGGGGTCTCTCCTCAATAATAAAACTTCTCATTAAACACTGTTTGAGGATTGTATTTTTTCATTCTTTCACAGGATGTGGGCATCACTGGCCAGGCTAGCATTCATTACCCATCCCTAATTGCCCAGTTGAGAGTCAACCACATTGCTGTGGGTCTGGAGTCACAATAGGCCAGAAGTTTCCTCCCCTAAAGGGCTTTAGTGAACCAGATGGGGTTTTCCTGATAATCGACAATGGTTTTATAACCGATATTAGACTTTTAATTCCACATTTTTATCGAACTCCACCATGTACCGTGGTAGGATTCGAACCGAGGTCCCTAGAACATTACCTGGGTCTCCTGATTACTAGTCTAGCGATAATACCGATAGGCCTTCACCTCCCCTTATTATAGCAGTTTAGAAGATATGGAAACAGAAACAGGAAGAGACAAAATGATAAAGTACACAGAACTGAACATGCAACTTACAGCTGGTGAAACATTCAGTCACAATATTCACCATCCAGAAAAGATAAAAATTATAATCTTATTTAGAGAATCGAACTGCAATCCAAGAATTGCTACATGAAGGGGAGAATCAGGCTATTCTTTCAATGCTATTCTTTCCTTTATGTTTGAACTTAATTAGTAACAGGCAGTATTTCTGATTGAATTTAGATCAAATTAATCATGGTTCAGCTAACTTACTGCTGATTTAACATAACTAAAAATTTAATCAATTAGCATGCATAGGCACCTTTTCCTAATATGGTCGGCACTATTTTTGTAATAGGTACCTTTCACTAACTAACGTAGAAGGCATACAGAAAGATGAGCTGATCGTCAAAATAATAAGCACCCTTTGATCCGCCAAGCTAACATGAAAGAATCTGGCATGAAGTCCTGAGAATTACCCACAAAATCCAAGGGTGATTTTTCAGGTACTTGGCTAAAATTGGGTTTGTTAAGTAAGGAAATAGCTCTAATGTTGTGGGCCATCAACAGCAGCAGAATTGTACTTCAGCCAATCTGCAACCTCAAGGTCCAGCATATCCCCCAGTCAATCTATGGCCTGGTTCAATAGACAGTGCAGGAAGGCATGGCAGGAGCAGTACTAGGCATACCTAAAAATGAGGTGTCAAGCTGGTGAAGTTACCAACCAGGACTATTTGCAAGCCCAAACAGCATAAGTAGCAAGTAATAGACAGAGCTAAGTGATCCACAACGAACAGATCAGATCCAAGCTCTGCAGTCCTACCACATCCAGTCATGAATGGTGGTGAGCAAGTAAACAATTCACTGGACCAATCACCTAGTGCTTCTGCAAACAAGTGAAAGTATACAGAGAAGGAAGATTGAGAAACAGAGTGTCAAGATCAGCACATGAAAAAATCTCAGCAAGCTCAACAGGTACTACTGAACTGCTTTTCCAATCGGCCCTCCACCCATAACACCCATTTATCGCCGTCTGTTCATCCAAGCTCGTGCACGTGTAATGGAGTGTTTCTAAAGGATTTAGAGTTTTAAATAGTAGAGGTACATGCTGACAGTTCAAAATTAGCTGTGGCTAGAGACTATTTACTTTACTGAGTATTAGCTCTTGTTAAAGACAGAAACCTGGTCCGTGCTGTTAACCTAGGTCTAAAAAAAAAATCAACTGGGGAATCTGCATGCATTTTAACATCTTTAACTTTTGTGACAAGAAGGATGGGTGCTTGATTTTCAGCATGCAACTGTAGTAAGGCTTAACGGTCATCCAAAATTTCAGCGAAACTGTCCCTCAAACCTAACCTCATTAATACAGATGCGAGAGAGAGATGTTCAGGCCAAAGGTGCACACCAGTTTGAAATGGAGGTCCCACTAGTTGTTTTCTACTGCAAGTACAGGATTATTGGAGAGAGTGAAAATAAACTTTGTCCCTGGCAGGCCTGACCTGGAAGTTGACAGTGTATAATGATTAAAACTGGAACTCTGTTCACTCAAGGTTAGGATATGAAACTCCAGCTGACATCACATTGCTCAGCACCTCCCAAACACTGATCCTGGGACACTTTAGTTCTGCAGAATTTGCTGCGAGAAATGTTGGGTCATGAGGGGTTTTCATAAGAGCATTGCTTTAAGATTTTTGACATAATCATCTTCTCTGAAATGCACAAGTTTTATAACAGGATGAACTTTTGAAATAACACTTTATTGAGGACTCTCAAAAGTAGGAAAAGTATGGCATTATTGCTAACTATATAACTTTTAAATGCTACACAGCTGTATCTTTGCAAACTGCTTAATGAACCATGCTCTCTAAATACAGCTGCCAGCTGCCTGATTTGGAATGTTTAGGAATGTCTCACTCACCCAGCTGCTTCATGTGTCTGGCCACATGCTATCTCGATACTGATCCTGCACTTTTTGATTGACATACTGTATTTGATTGCTTCCTCAGGTGGAAGCTTGCACGTTGGCACTATGTCCAACAACGCCACAAAGTCAATACATTGCAGTGTTTAAAGGATGCCTAAAACACAATATATTTCAACACCTCTGAGAAAGTCAGAAAAAAAAACTAAGAGTGAAAGTTCACCATTCCAAAGTTAGAATTCCATGAAATGGCACAAGTTGTACATCGCTGATATAGTGCAAGTACACCTAATAGCGTAAAGTACTAAGTTCCAGAATTCTGATCCAGCAATAAAAGTCAACAAATTATCATTTACCCTGCACAACTTTGAGATGGACCGTAAATTTTGTTGCTCACACAAATACGTTTATAAGTTGGTTGCAGTGTTTGCCATTTAAAAGTAACTAAACCTTAAAAAGCACTTCTTTGCTTCTAAAGAAGTTTTATATTGCCTAGTGATTGTTAACTAGATACAGGATTGTTTGCATTTGAAATAGCAAAATACGAACTAACTGGAACAGACACTCTACAGACAGAAACAAGTCAAGTTGCATTTTAACAGCTGAAACTCCACTTATCAACTATGCCTCTCGATGGCAAAGTAACTTAAATCAATCTACAAAATATCTTAAAGTAGAAGTGGTATATCAAATGGTGCTTAAATAACTGTTAAAGCATTTGGAAATAATGGCTGGACTTTTAAAGTTACCAGAATATTCCCTTGATTTTATTAGTTCCGTTATAGATTCCACGAAGTAGTAGTAAAGAAATTCAGGGCTTCAATAACAGGAATCTTAGCCAGAACCAGGAGAAATGCATTTTACCATATTAGATCTGAAGTAGTTAAGACTGCTGCCATTCTATAAGCAGTGCTATTTTACAGAACAACTTTACTACACAATGTACAGAGATTAACAATGGAACAATATCACATTTGCAGTGCTCTGCTTCCAGCTGAATAACTTTTAATCATTTGAACAGAGGAACAGCAAATATTTCTTCGCAATGAATAATAATCCAAAATAAACTTGGAAGTTTCCAAAGAGATCCAATGCATTTTGGGAAACGTTTCATATGTTGCCTTGGAGAAGCCTAGATCTATAGTATTTTGTACTAAACCCAAATAGTGCAAGATGAGAAGAATGATCAGACTGGAGTTGCACTAGTTTCCTTGTCAACATTCACTCAAAACTTCACTTAATGTAGACTCGAAAATCCGGTACAACACCAGCCAAAATGAGCATTGACAAGTTTTAAAGAACTTACCTGCCTCTGCTACCAGTGCTAGAAGTACTCGAGGGTCTGACTGGAGTGTGGGAGTTAGCCATTGCTAAGGCTGCAACTGAGAAAAGGTATTATTAGATGTTGTTGTGAAGGTTTGACTACATATAGTAAGTTAATGAAACCACAATGTATTGCATACATAGCCAGTAGGGAATCAGGGTTCTACCATCTCCAAGGGTTTCAAGATCACTTCAGTGTTTTATTTCTAATGAGGCTGATAAAGTGGCATTGGCATAGCAGTTATGGTTATGGTGATGACATACCAAGGTAGCCAAATGTGAAGCTCAACTCCCTGAATCTTTTCATTTTGGGTCTGCCACTGTATACAAGCCTTTTGAGAGTACAGCCACAAACTAAGGGACATTCTTTGAAAATAATTTCATAACTTTCCCCACATGTTCAAAATATTCTTTAAAATTTCAGAATTATGATAAGTGTCTTTATAAAAATCACTGTTGAAGGCTTATCTGTTACCGCAGAGCTCGAGTAAAAAGGTTTATGCATCAGTGGCATTAATCTGAAACTGAGTTAAACATCAAATGCTGCTCTTGAGTAAGTTTTAATCTCAATATCCATAACTTAATGACTTGTGCAGTCCATTTCAGTTTCCAAAAATGTGGCTGCCCTAAAAGATGATACACATCTTATAACAGCTGACCCTTCCAACATCTGCAGTGTAGAAAGCACGCTGGGTAGAATAACATCTGAATCAAAATAATCAACTGAATATGGATTTTGAACGAGTGTAGAAGACAACACCATCTACTAGAGAGTAGGTCTTACAAGCACGGAACTCAAAATGATCAGTCTAATTATGGCAGACTCAATGACTATCATCTTCAGGACAACGATTTTTAACAACCTAGTACTGGGAATATTTGTTAATAACATCTCACCATCGCCACATGACGGATCTCAGCTATACGATGCAACAATCCGCATCTAGTTCAAATAGTAGATATTGATTTCCAAGGAAAATTTGTCTGATCTATTCACAGAACGACTAATCTACTTGGAGCTAGCGACAGAAATGCTGCAATATGAACTCAATGCTCATTTCAAGAATACAATGCAGTGGGCAACGCGGCCTAATTTACAAACGGCCATAGAGTGTTATCAGTTAGGAATGCACGTAAGGAGCCTCAACTTCAAACTTTACTGGCCTTGTGATATGCAGACATTACTTATGACCCTTTGAAAGAATTGGTTGTGAAAATCCCAGATAGTGTTTCCACAGGAACAGACAATAACAGGTCATCCAAGGATATAAATAGCGTTCCTGAGGTTCCCTTAGATTTTTAAGATGCTGTGCCACTGTGTATGTTGAGAGTTCTTATCTCTTCGTCTTCCTGTCCTTGAATCTCTTGTGGGAAAAGACATCTCAGGACTGCACATTCCTCAGTAATGGTGAGGGAAACCTCACAAATCTAATAATGAATTGATTTACTCATTAGACATACGACACTATGCTGGAGAGAAGGGCTACACAAATAATTTCTCATTTCTCCAACATACAACCAAAGTTATGTTAACTGTAAATGTTATAAACAGTAAAGCAAGTAGTCTTCAGGGACTTATGAGGTGTGCTTTGTTGCAGGCAAATGCATATTGTTTGCATTTACAATGTGAGCTGACAGCTTAACAAGTCAATTAAATGTAGTCCAACCATTATCCACCTAATAGCCTGCCATATTTATTTTCCTTTATGGGGAATGTGCAAAGTTCCATTGAAGCATTCAACAAAACTAATTTGAATTATGTACAGCAAAATGTAATTTTGTAATTCCTGGCATACAGGTGAGCATTCAAGAAAAAAATCTTTGAGTAGACTTACACTACAAAGAGGAATGTTTTGGAAGTCAAGAGACCTTAAGCAGGCCTCACATAAATAGTGGCCATACAAGTTCTATGTTTGGTCAACTTACTACACCCAGGCCACAAGACAAACACAATTTTCATGGCACTAGTTTCACTTGCCCAACTAGAATTAACTGTTGGGAAAGGGTTTAAAAGATGACATGTGGGATTAATTACAGCCTTTTTGTTGACCATTGTCATTGGGCTCATAACTCAAAAGCTCAGACTATGCTCTGGTAACTTGGCAGTTGGTGTAATTTAAAAATTAAAGGGCTCAAGCCACAGTGGCAATGTACCTACCTCTGGATCAGATGGTCTGAGTTGAAATTCAAAACCCACCTGCTACAGAGATGTGTAACATGCCTGAACTTGTTGATTAAAAATAATTGAGAGGATATCGCATGCTGGGCCAGTTATAGCATAACTGACTCCAGTGCACAAGAAATACAAGACGATTATCAGCAAAACCAGTTCTGCTGGGCAACTCTTGAAGACTGACATCTAATGACTATGAAAAATTAACAGAATTATGCATGAACTTCTTCCATAAAAATCTTTGGCATCTAGGAAGTTGTATAACTGAATCTGCTTAAAATACAGTAAAATTTACAAGCAAATGAAGAAATAAATTTACAATAACACTACATATTATTTATAACTTTTCTTCAGAACTCAAAGCTAGCATTTCATTTTTATTTCTTAAAAATACAGCACTTCATAATTTAAGCCGCATTGACGTGAGTCTCAAGCAAATACACCAATGTGTTTGTTCCACAGCACAAATTCACCCAGAATTAGAATTATACGCCCAATTTCTGAATTAATGCAATCCTTCAACTTTTAGCAAGCATTCACTTAAGATTGTAAGTTCTTACAAAATCAATATTACTTTAGAATAATAGACAAGAGGCAGTCATTTGCTCCTTGGTTTTGAATAGAACCTTCTAACTAGCCGTAGGTGCCAAGAGGCTCAAAAGTTCTTTCCATTCAAGTATATATCTAATTTCCTACTGAAAGAAACCATTGAACTTGTTTCCATGAACTCTTCAGGCAGAGCAATCGATTACAAGTCGTAACAAATTGGCAACAGAAGTACAAAATTGGTGTCAGAAAAATACTCAATAGATTAAATCACTTGCATTTCATTGGCACATTTCTAAGAATCTTTACCTTTCTTTAGTATCAATATATTTGTAAGGCTGTTTCTAGCTCACTGTATTTGCTTACTTGCTGGTCCAGGGGATGGTGCTGAGGGTCCAGGGGATGGGTTTGAACTGGAGGAGGCTGGTGGTGGCAGTGGTGGTGGGTGGTGATGACTGTCCGAGATAAATCTGCTCAACAAATTATCTAACGTACTCGATCCAGCATCATCCAGCTGCAGATAGAATTAACATTGAAGAAAACAAACAAAGGATCAAGTCTTTTGGAATACAACTCAAATCAAGGTACATACTGCTGTAAGTTATCATCTTAGAGAATGGAGGAATGACTAGACTAAATCATATAAAATAAAACAAAACACAGTGAATGCTGGAGATCTGAAACTAAAACAGAAATTGCTGAAGAAACTCAGCACTTCAACTAAAGTCACCAGACTTGGAACGTTAACTGCTTTCTCCCCACAGATGCTGCTAGACCTGCTAATTTTCTCCAGCAATTCTCTCCTGCTTTGGAGACTAAACTGCTTTTTTTTCCATTTTTACAAAATTGGCTTTTCCTATTGTGATTCCATTAAACTTGGCAGATTATGTTGCGTTAATCAGAGAGCAGTGGATATATTCATTTAGATTCAAATATTTAGTATTCGAGTATAAATTTGATAAGTAGTAGTTTAGAACATCTGCATGGCAATTTCACTTGTGATCAGATCCACTAAAAAGTATACAGGGGAGTTCATGTTATTGATCCTCACATCAATAAAAGTACATACAGGGATTCATGAGTAGATGCAAATGGAATTGCAGGCATGACAAAACGCATTTACAGGAAAGGCTGAACAGATTAAGGGTCTCTTTTCTAGAGAAGGTGGAGAAGTGATCTTATAGAAATATTTAAGATCATGAAATCATTTGAGCTGGCACACAAAAAGGTTCCAATTCTCAGAGCTGCCCAAAACAAGATGGCATAAACACAAAACTAAATAACAATAAACCCAAAAGGGAATGCAAGATAAACCCCTTTCCCCAAAGAATGGCACTAATGTGGAACAGCAAGGAGTATTTAAGGAAAACATCAGACTGGTACGTGGAATAATTAATGAGGGAAGAAAATTAGATAAATACCTGAAAAAAAGAAACTGAAGGTCATGATGATAGGGTTAGATGAATTCGGGTCGGAGAAGATTTATGTACAGCATATAATGGGAGTCAAATGGTCTGTTTCTGTATTGTACACTCTTACACAGGCACTGTACAATTACTGAGTAAATCATAGGTACTACTCCCATCGCCAAGAATCTACTGCTTTCAGCACATTCAGGGAAACATTTACTGAATGCCAATTGATTCTCAAATTAATCCAGAGAAACTGCTGTAGTCATGCAAATCATCTTGTTGGAACTGCTAGTCAGAAACAACCTGGAAGCAGAAATTTTAAATCTTGATTGTTCATATGGTGCTTCCAGCATCATGCTTTAACTGATTGAAAGCAAATTTATCGTACATGACATTCCAAGGGTAGGTAAAGGAGGTGGAAGACAAAGAGTACCACTTACATTTAAACAGTGTTTGACAAATGACATTAGTTACTTACCATCTATAAAATTTACAAACTGTAAGTAAAATAGTCTATTCAATAGAAACCTCATGATACTGACCTGAATGGGTGGGATATCTGGAAGTGAAGGAAGGTTCTCTGGGTTAGTCACCGAAGGAATCAACTCTATTGTAGCAACTGTGGGACTGGTGGGCCCTCTGTTTGCACCAGCCAAACTAGCAGTGGTGGGGCTGGTCGGATTTGGAATGCTATTGTGCACAGAGGCTGCAGAAAATGGTCCCGTGTGCCCAGGATTTGTATGCTATCAGAAAATAGAAATAGGTCATGCTTTTAGTTTAATATTCGATAAAATGGTAAAAATTCCCTCCACCCATTCCAACAGGATTGTTTGTTTTTAAAAAATTCGAACCAATTTGACTTTCTACAATTACAAATTTTCATCTTTTTATTCAGTGGACACAGAACAAAAAAAAGGCCCTAAACTACAATTCTGGAAAGACAATGGAGAGAAAGGAATTGAAAATCAGCAAAATTCCAGAGTTGGCAATTTCACCCCATTGGTGCCATAAACAATATTTTAGGAGAGAGGGGAAGTGTGAGAAGAAAGAAATCAGTGAGTGAGAGACGATGGAAGCAGTTAGCAGAAAGGTTGCAAGTGAGCTGCAGAAAAGACAATGTTAACACTTTAGGCTTCAGGAATTGAACTAATGGAATTTCAGCTGTTCTGTCCACCAGATTAATCAGCAAGAGGCAAACCTGACATAATTAACTTCTTATTGTTTGGCAATCTATCAGTTCTCTGATTGTGTGCTAAGAGCTGTAGTAAACCTTATTCAATTACACAAGTGGAGACATCTTGTTGGTTAAACGTGACATTTAAAGGACTGTTGCATCGGCATGCAATTAGAGGGAATGTTTGCTGGCTATGAAGAAGGAGCAATATACATTTAATTCTGGGTACAAAACATGCATTCTTTCCCACCTGATGTAAATTTGTTCTGTTAAAAAAAGATACGCTGATGCCACCTGCCTCTATCAATGAATCCAATATCTATGTGCACAGTAGAATACAATGTAGAAATGCAAGATTTTGATGGCAACTTTCGTGACCTTGAGATGACGCAAATGGTTTTGCAAGAAAAGTAGCAGCCATTTTTGTAATTTAGAGAACACCACTCGGTCTGCATATTGCAAGCTCCCACAAACTGCAACGGCAGAACTGATTAGACCCTTTGTTTTGGGTTTTGAGTGTGTGTTAAATGTAGGATGTAGAATTCTCCAACAAATATTGCCTTGGGATCTTTTCTCATCTGCCTGAAAAGGCAAAAAGAGCCCAACGATGGACCTCCCTCCATTGTACATGGA